GAGTATTGCATTGACAGCAAAATAAAGAACATTATAACAGCAAGAGTGACGATTAAGATATTTTTATGGTGGGAAAGGCATGGGACAAGCTGATAGTCGAGCCAGTTAACTATGTAGCAAAAACACATGTGCAAAAAGGCATGTGAGTTCAGCTGCTCACAGTTCTGCATTTCATTTGATTAAAAGTATATTCTATATTTTTAAAATACATGAGCACGCTGAAATGTTGATTTAAAAGGTTTTAGGTCGTTTTTATTAATTCAATAATTTCTTTTAAATTTTTTTCAAAAAGTTTGCTCTTTCATGGGCCAAATTATTTATACAGTTATATTGTCAGAAGGAATTAGTATCCCCGGGGTATGTGGCTCCTACTCAGTGCTCAGCTGTAGACATATGGGAGTTCCTGTCTTTTAAAATAATTGACATTGCTAGTGGACGTGTGTGCTCTTTCTGATTTGAAAGAATACGTGGCAATAGATGTTTGAGAACAAAATTAAGCCTCATGAACTTACAAAAATAAAGGGAAATAATTTGTGCCAACATTTTTTGAACTTTCCGTTATGCTTACTTAGGTTGGGATTTTATGAGAATGCAAGAGAATGCGGATAAATGCAAGCATGTATTTCTCACTGATCCAGTATGTAGTAGAATTCCTTATATAGAGTTCAACATCCAGTTTGTGATCTAGCCCATAGCAATAGTGGTCAGCATATTACATTGCTGTTGGGGAGATTTTTATGGAGGAAGTCATGATCTGCTTTTGATCGCTCCACTCTGTAGTGTGTAAACACTCCACTGCGTTTTAATTTCCACACTAGTTTTCACTAATGTACACAAAGATGAGTTATTTAAAATAAACTATTAACTACTTTTCAATGAAAGTTTTGGAAATACAGTATTTATTTTCCTAACTACATATTTGCAAACTATACCTGACACCTGGTAGACTAGGAGCTTTTTTAAAGTACTTTACAGCCTTGGATTGCAAAAAAAAGTAGCATTACAAGACAGTAAATAAACAGCCTTGTTGCTGCAAGTTTCACATGTTGAGGTAGAGTTTTTAAGTTTATGTAGATACTTGTATATGAAGATTGTTGGAATAACCTTTATGGACAATGCTTAGGTGCTTAATAGGAGCATGCAAAAAGCTTGGTTGCTATGCAATAATTACACTACTTTGAAACAGTGAAATATTCATTCATATTGATAAATATGGTTTTAGTATTGGCAGGGAGAGGAAATTTTTTTCCTGTCAAATTCATACAGTGAACAAAATCAGACAAATTTTAAGCATGATTCCTTGAGTTTCTGAAGTAGAAGCAACAATTTTCAAAGCTCAATACGTATTAAGAATAATTCCTCCAAATTTAACTTCAGTATGTTAATCAATTAGCCAGTCTGGGAGAAAAAGTGCTTAATAATAGTAAAAAAAAAAGGACGTGAGGCTGGAAATCAAAACATGCCATAAAATCAGTGCATCAGTTGAATCCGGCTTTAGTACAGAGGAGAGCTGAAAACTTTAGTTCCCAAGAGACTAACTTCCGTTCTTGATTTTTGAAGATACTTCTGTGATTTCCTCTAAGGAAACAGAACTGAGAGCCAAAAAAACATTTTGGAAAAGTGTTTTCACACTGATAGCCTTATTCTATTATTTACTGCATGATTGCTGTATGAGTACGTGTGATTATTAAGTTCGCCCACACAATTTTCACAAGGGTATATGATGCCCTAAGTCTTCATGTATACATGTGTAGGACACATAGATTTTGACTATCCTTTTGAGGAGAGAAAGTAAGAGCAATTGTTGCAGTAATTGTGGAGGATATAAAGACAAGTTTTAAATTTACTTTTTCTACCACAGTCTGGTCCCATTCAGCATATATTGGGGGATAAAGGTTTGTCTGTGATGTTAACAGGTTTATGAATACATTTCAGATAATTATATGATTTGGGGTTTTTTTAGGCAGGGTTTTAGTCTTAGACTTTTGTATGTGGAGGATACAGTTCACTGTAATAAGAGAAAGCAGCATGCAAGAGAGGTAGAAGTTATTGAAATTATTGTTGATAGGGTCAGTGACAGCTAGAGTATTTAGCCTAACTGATAAATAAGTTGCCTATAGATGTTATTGTGAATGTAGATTAGGAAGGTGATGGAGATACATAGAAATTTTTCAAAGTAGTTCATAGATGTTAAAATATTGTGGGATCAGTTTAGTGTCCATGGTCTGAGCAAAGTCTCAGTTAGGAAAATGAAGCAGGTTAGAGGAACTGAAACTGCCACTGAATTTTGGCTGGAGTTCCAAATGTTGGTACTCTTGTGATTACTTAAGGTAGGTGGCACCACTGTGTGTGCCACTGTGATAGCTGTGGTAGCCAGGTTCTCTCTTATGTGGAACAGGGAAGAGTCACTCTTCTTTTACCTTGTGCAGCTTTCCTCCAGGATGCTTAGGATTGGAAGTGTACACCCTTGACTGTTAGTCACATTGACATACTTTTTTTTGGTTTAGCATTTTTGTAGCCCATTGTTCACTGGTTATATTATTGTTTTGGTGCCTCTGTAATTTTTTCTCTCCAAGGCGCAGAGGTTTCTTAAAGACCATTCCTTATATTGCATCGGAATGAATCAAAACTATTTCTGTTGCAACTACTTCAACTTGTAAGCATTTAATTAGTTTGGTCCAATTAAGATGATTGAACATTATTCATCCATTATTTTAACATTGCAGTGACACTTATCAAATGTAATATTAACAAAAAAACCTAAGTAGTTTATGTGCGTATTATTCTTAATGAACTCAGTTTTTCTCATATGTTTCCTTTTCATGTAATGAACCTAGGGGCTGAAAAAGAACTGGGACGAAGCAAATCGTGAATTTCAGTGTCTTCCGGTAAAAATAGACACCGTTTCCAAGAAGTTATATAAACAAAAGCTGGAATCACAGATGAAACAACTGGAGCATGACATAGATGTCATTGAGAAGCACAAAGCTATCTACATTGCAAATGAATAAGGACGGGTTTTCAGTTATTGCCTTATTCTTCCTTTTCTTTTTCTCTATCCCTACATCTCCAAGAAGTGCCTCCCCTTAATTCTCAGAAGAAATTGACATCACAAACTATTCAGAAGAAAATATTTAACTAACAGAAGTATGTAACTTCTTAGAAAAGTTGTTACATATAGCTCTCATCTGTATAACTCACAAAGCATTTTGAAATAAAATTCTTAGCTAAACATTGTATAAAACTATGGTTTTTATCTATTATTCTTTGTAATTTTTATTAACTACTAAGATTTCTATAAACATCATATGAAAAGCATACAAAATAGTTCCATATGTTTGGAGCACTTCTTTCCTTGCATAGCCAAACCAAAGGGAAATAATTGGCTGCTGAAGACAGCTTGGTAAATATAACTTCAGGGTGGGATGGCTTCTGGACTAGTTATTAAAGAGCTATTGCACTTTACTTAAAAGCTTGAGCAATTGCATTTATAAACAGCCTGACTTCTGCATAACATTTTGTTTACTCACTTTTTGTTACCAAAGCCAATTTTTGTAGTGGAAGCCACTAATAATATAGGCTTCACACAATATAGATACCACATGTAGCTTGCTGTGTGTGTTTATGTATAAATAATTCTGAAATACTATAGTAAATCTACAACTAAAGTAGAAAAATGTGTTTTGATTGCTGTTATGTGTGCATTTTTAGAATCAAAGCAATATACTAGCATGTGAGTCAAGACCTAGACATAAATTATATCAGCACACTATACTGCAATTATTTGCATAAAAAGAAAAATTGTTTTTCTTGCCTAGTGCTTAACCTTTGCTTCAGAACACAGCTTTTTCTGTATGGTATCAATCATTACCACCAGCAGCTGTTTTAACATCATAGTATCTCAGATCAGCAGAGGCTGAAGCAAAAACTTTCAAGTGAACTATTAAAAGCCAAATTTTCACGTACGTTAAGTTCCTTTCATAAATTTGTCAGGGAACGGCTTTGAAGACTTCACAGTGATTCTAGGCTGTATTTCTTGTACATCTTGAACTTGTCTTTGACATGCACTAGGAAGGTGAATGTGTACTTTGGTCTTTGTAACTTATTGTTAAGCAATCGTGTTTAGTTTTGAAAGCTATAAGCTGGAAGAAAGCTGTAGTTTTGTAGAATACGAATTTCATTTACTGTTTATTCAAATGAATGACTTACACTGTATATTTTTTACAAACCACACTAATTATAAGTGCTTAATAACATGTCACATTATCTCCCAGTGAAGTGCAAGATGCCTGTCTTAAGAGATGCAATATAGTCAAATATGGCTGTTTCCTGTGGCTTAAAATAAAAAAAAAAAAAGATTTGGCTTCAAAGCAGCATGCCTTTGCACCACCTCACACGCAGTTTTTAATTACTTGTAGTCCATTTGGCTGACTTACTTAGGGTAAGGATCCGAATTTGGTTCTTCCATTTATCATGATTGCTAACTTTATGGAAATGCAGTGTAGATGATGGCCTGTCCTAAAATCTGGGAGAAGCAACTAGGCCACACTTGGAAACATTCATAACTCACCAGTTATAATGACTGCTTTTCAAAATTGTCAGAAGGATATCAGTGTATTATTGGGAAGTTAGGAAGTGAGCAGGAAGGGATGCAAAAAGTATTCCCGCTTAACAAGAGATGAAAGCCCGTGCACTTCCGTAGCTGAGTGGGCTGTCACCGGTGTCTTCGAACAGTACTGTGGTTTGTTGGGTTTTTTTCATAAACTTTGCAGGTAGCTCTGCTGCCATGCAGCATATTTTTCTCTTGATACACGTGAATGGCTTCTGTCACCCTATGAGGAGCCTGTAACTCCTTCCATCTATTCTGACATGTATTCCATGTGACCTACCAACCCTTCTGAATATGGGGATTTTTTTGTAACGAAAATCATTAAAAATACACACAGGAGGATAACATTCTTAACCTTTAACTCCCCCTGGAAGATTTCACAAAATAAATTTACAAAATGCAAAGATTGTAACTGTGTTTATATGTTCAGGAAATGCCAATAATTGCAGGCATAATGTTGATGAATCAGGTGATTTGTATCATCAATATAATTAAAGCAAAAAGGTGAGTAAACGCAATTGTGATAGAATTGTTCTTTCATCAAAGATATTAAATATCAACAGAAACAAGTCTGTCTGCAGGCTAGAAAGTAGCATTACCAGATGAAACGTTCTCTAAATACACTACTCAGAATCTGATAATCAATGAAATAATGAGAAAGGAAATAATCTAAATGCTTCCAGTATTTCATAATTATCAAACTGGCATTTTTAAGTGGTCCATATTAAATTGGATAACCATCACAAACCAAATGCTAAACGGCTATGAGTGTTCTATTGGTCAGTAAGAGTTATGCTGCCACAACTTGAAAATATTTCCTGTTGGAAGTTGTGCATGCCAAAGCTGTGTATCTATTTTTTTAAAAAGTAGCAACATGAAATTATGATAAATATCTCACTGGCTGTTCTTCAGAATGAAACTATTTATATCCAGGAAGGAAGGGATCAGAAACGGCATGGTCACGAACACAGAGAGTTCCAGATGGTATGGCTCCCATAGAGCTGCCTCAAGCAAGCACCAGGTCTGACAGGAGCGTATGGGCTCCATGTGGCTGGTCTAAAAGCGCTTCTTGGGCTCTGTGTGCATTCCTGGGAATAAGTCTGGAACGGTTCCTCAAAATCTCCCTTGCACGGGGCTAACCCCCTTCCCCTCATGAAACAGCAAGAGCAAAATTTGGTGGGAGAAATAATACGGGAGAAATTCCTTGCTGGTGCCATTGTCCTTAGTTTCTGCAGGTGGGTTTCAGTGTAGGAGGGCATGTTCTGGCCCTCTCTGTATCTTTATGAAAAACTGGCATCACAAACTGCTGCTGTGATCGCTCTGCCACAGACAAGAAGATCTCACATGTATGCAGGTTAATGGGAGTCCTAGATAAATGCTAGTCCTAGTCAACAATTTCATCCTTGGCTTTATGATGCTTTATAATATTAATAATATAATTACAGGAGAGACAGGTGTTAAAACCTATTATTAATATTGCCTGACATTTCCCATAGTTAAAGAAGCCAGCTGCTGAGCCGTACAGCTGGTTGGGATTATCCACCCCGGTAACCAGAGGCATTACTGGGCCTCACAAAACGAAGGAGGGCTGGCTCTTTCTCCTCATGAGTGGACATCCGAGGTAGTGATGTATACTTGATGGCTGAATGCCTAAATTATATTTGTTTTCCATTCTGTCTTGGTCTTGCTCCAGCTCTTTTTTGTTATGTAGTGTTCTGTAAATAAAATGTAAGTAAATTCAGGGTTTTCATCCTCCAAGCTAAGCAGTGACATTATGATAGGAATACATTTTTACTGTTTAAAGGGTGCTGAAGTAAACGAGACTTCTATTTCACCAAGTTATAAAAAAACATACTTCTTTTTTCTGGACTATACTTTCAACAAATGATTGTAGATGAGCAGGCATAGGTCATAGTAGACTACAGTCCTGTCAGCTGGCCTTGTTGGTGAGGGTGAACTTCTGTTCAGTCACAATACCAGCCCATGTGGTTAATTTGTTATTCCATGCCTGCCTCTACATTGACTCCACAGCACAGAGAAATTCACATAGACTGGAATAACTTTGACTTCAAATCCTTCCTCGAATGTTCTTTGCAATGGTGCCCACCAAAAATTTAGCAACCGCTGAGCTTCTAGTGAAATCATATTAGAGTTTATCTTGCTGACCTGTGCAGTTCCCTTGAATTCCCCTGGCACTGTAGTCGGTTGTTTCTTGTCTTAGACTCAGATTGTAAGTTATCTGTCATGTCAATCATCTTTTTTTGTCTTTGCTTAGTGTCTGACACAATAAATTTTTTGTCTGTAAGTAGAGTTCCTATGTGCTTATAATAATATTAAGTTTGATCACCTGGGGATGAAATAAGACCATGCAATAAAGGGAACAGTTTCAAGTTGTTTACTAAAAGGGTCTGTTTTCCAGGAACCCTCATCTCATTTGTTTCAGCAACTGGAAAGCGGGAGTTGAAGGAAGAAGAATAGATTTAAAGCACTCAACCTATTCCCTGGAGCATTATGATTTATTCATGTCTTTGTCATAGAATGTTTTTGAAATGCAGTGGTAAATGACTTATACCTGGCTTTTTCACTGGTAGCCATTAATACTGCGTTTCTCATTTTTGGAGTTCCTGACTTCTGCCATTCAAGCGTACGTGTTTTAAATACAGGATAGGTGTGCCTAAAGGTAGAAGTGATGCTTGGAACCTAGGTGGCGCTATATAATAGTTTGAAAGCTATTGTTTCAAACTGGTCAGTCAAGATTAATGAAATTAATGTTTAACTTACTCTTGCTAGCTGAGAGCCCCCATATGGAGAATTCAGGTGACTCTATCCTCTATTCCCAGAGCTGCTGTAAAGATAGACGAGTTCCTCTAGAACTGTCCCTGTATTGCTTTGAGGGGCGTAATGAAGGTGTAGAAGAAATGTAAGAATTCTCTCCTCAGAGGGAACAAGAAGTCAGTAGTGTCCAACATGGGGCACCAAGCACTGCACAATGAAGAAACAACCACATTTTGCTGTTTGCTCAGGAGGAACAGTCTGTCTTTTACACAAACGATAAAATGAAGAGAATGGTTTAAACCCAGCATTCCAGCACCCTCAGGGAGCAGGTCATTCTGTGCAAAAACAGAGCTCAGGGGTTGGCGAGCCACGAACATTTAGCGTGCCTACGCTACAGGAGAACTTGCTGGACCAGATTCTGCTTTTCAATACCGTTGTTACTGCACTGTTTATTCTAGGCAAGCTGTGAAGTATACAAAATTACATCAAAGAAGACTGAGCTATTTTGAGGAAAAAAAAAAGTCCTTAGACTGTTAGTCATTTTCTTGTTTAAAACACTCAGAATTCTTTTGGTTTGCAGATTTTCCCTGATTTGCTGTCAGTTATTAAAATTAAAAAAAAAAGAAA